GGCTTCATTTAAAAATCGGATAAAAAGCTTGACAAGTTATAGGCACTTTTTTGTTCAATTCATTTTGTTTCATAGATAATTAATATTATGTTTGATTTATAATTAAGATTTTAATTTCACTTAGTTTGTAAGCGTTTACAGAGACTGATTTTTACACTGTATATTAACATATATATTTTTTTGTAACGGGGTAATTCCGTATATTAATAAATAAATAAATATATTTAATTTATTAAATCGGTTCGTCACAGTTTTTTCAATCGTCTTGCAAATCCGGAAGGAGCGTGTAGCAGCCTTGCTTCATCATTTGGATGATTTCTCAGTCCATCAAAGTAGCTGAGTCCTAGCGTAGGATTTTATTCCTTACATACTAGGGCCCGTTGAATATCATTCTCAATATTTTTGATTGGACTTGTTACATATGAGACAAACAAATCAAATATGAAAATTAACACTGTTAAGTACAAGAATAACTACTGATTTCATCTAGATTTGGTGGCCTTACACAGTATTTAAACATTTAAATATTTAACAATGAAAATATGTTATCAAAAGAATGGCTGATTATATCTTTATAATATGTGTTTATGCCCATCATATTTTTGTAAATTGTATGGACTTATTTTAATAAACTAGGTACCATTTGAAATTATTGATATGTTTAATTTCTGTCTAATTTTTTATATCAATGAAATGTAAATACATGGTACAAAAAAACTACCCTTCTTTATTTGTATTATAAACGAAATAAAATCATGCTATAACCACAAATAAAAGAATTGTTATTTTTAATTTCAGCAGACTTACAATAATTAGTTTTAAATACGAAAGTTAACCAAAGCCTTCAATTAATAGCCCTGGCACCGGATTAACAATCTTAGCTACTTAGCTCCCGGCCCCAAAAAACGCTTAATTCGGTACGAAATATCAGATTTCTCATAAAAATAATAATAAAAACAACAAATTATAAATAATAAAATATTAAAGTGATGAAATTACGCAGTCCTTACATGTACTTTAAGAATGTACCTCTCCGCATGACGTCACTGCGTAGAACAGAAGAAATTTAGCACGCTATCGATCATACCTTATTTTTATTGTACCATGAAGCAGACCGGTCTCTTCGTACCGTTGCCACAGTATAGTGCTTTTAAAGCACTATACTGTGCCGTTGCCATACTCGTTGCACACTCGAGAGACTTACGCCAACGTTTCTCGCAATTTCGCGCTGACCGTGGCCATCTTCTAACGCCGCCGCAATTCTTGCCGCCACAACAGAATTTATGCTCATTGAAATACACTGACAGTGATAACAAAACACAAACAATTTACAATTAACGTTAAAACCATAAAAACAAAAACTGTGCTGATACGGTTTTTAGGAATTAGGCTAAAGGGCCCCTTTTATCTTAAACGCTTGTCGAAACACAAACGAAAACAATTTTTTGTTTTAAGAAATCCATTAGTAAACTAAGTATGTTACAACCGAAAATAGTTAAAACAGAATAATAATTTCTAAAATAAATTCAAATTACGGGGTGACCCTAATTTTATGCTCGGTAATATATATTCGACAATGCAACTATGTAAATAAATGTAGAATAAGGTGTAAATTAAGCATCTAGCAAAATAAAATCTTAAAGAGAAGTTAGACAGGGAGACACATTCAAAAATGATGAGGTATTCAGGAAGTTGCGCTGTGCACTGTTCTAACAAACCGTAGCTTTAGTATTATTGCGGTAGGTCTTCTGGCCATACTCTATTCAGTCTATTTTCGGCAAGTGGTTGGGTGAATAAATTATTTATTAGTTCGTTGTTGTAATCAGTGGTTCAAATTTTTAAAATTTATTGAACGATTCTTTATTACGTCCTTAATTAGTGAGATGTCCACTGTGAAGTGTTTGGTTAGATACATACCATGGAGCTTTACTTATCATACGGAGTATTTTGGATTGGAATGTTTGAAGTATCTTCCTATTTGAAGATTTACTGCAGTTCCAAAGTTTCATTCCGTATGCCCAAACTGGTATGAGTAAAGCTTTGTGCAGAAGCAGTTTATTTTCAAGAGATAACTGAGAGCTTTTGTTAAATAGCCAATTCATATTTTTTAGTTTAAGATATAGTCGTTTACGTTTAGTTTTAATATGCTTTTTCCATGTAAATTTTTCATCCAGATGCAGTCCCAAGTATTTGACAACTGATTTTATGGGAATACAGGTAATATTAATAGAAACTTCTGAACATGTAGATTTTCTTGTTACAAAAGTAATTTGTACTGATTTGCTAGCATTAACATTGATATTCCATCGCTTAAGCCAGTTTTGTAATTGATCTAAATGAGTTTGTATTTTTTGTGATGCCAGATTAGGATCGATATCCACTTCCAAGATTTCTATGTCATCGGTAAAAGTAGTTAAGAAGCTATCATTGCTGGTTAGTACTTCTTCTGTAAATATCAGATACAGAAATGAGCCCAAAACTCTACCCTGAGGTACGACGCCAGTTAGTGGAGTAGCTGTCCTCAATTTTGACTTGGAAGTAATGGTCAGTAAGATAAGATTTTAGTATAAAGTATAGTTGGTCTGTTTGATGTAGAGGAGACCTTTATGCCATACTCTATCAAATGCCTGTTGTATATTGAGAAACACTGCAGCCCAAAACGTTTTCTCTTCGAGAGTTGTTTTAATTATATTTACTATTCTATGGTATTTTTGGAGTGGTCACGTCTAAATCCGAATTGGTGTTGTGGTAAAATTTCGTTTATGGAAACAACTTGCTCGATTTTATGTAATAGTAGCCTTTCTAATACTTTCGACATTGTTGAGAGTAGACTTATAGGGCGATATGAATTTGCTTGCATTGCAGGCCTAGCAGGTTTCGGAATCATACTAACATGAGCAAATTTCCATTGTATTGGAAAGTATCGAAGACGTAGTATGCTGTTGTATACTATTGTTAATATATGTGTGAATTAATATTGTAAATCATTATTATCAAATAGATTATAAATATGCATAAATATTATGAGTATAAGAGATATATTATAAGAGTAATTTTAGTTCGGCTAATGGATAAAGTCCATAGTCAAAAGAAACCAACAGCACACACTATTAGTACTTCTTCTTCTTCGGGTTCCTTCTCCTAGCGGAGGTTGGAAATCACCATCGCTATTTTAACTTTGTTGGCCGCATTTCTGAATAATTCTAATGAGCTGCAGCCGAACCACTCTCTCAAATTTCTTAGCCAGGACATTTTGCGTCGTCCTGGGTTTCTCTTCCCTTGTATCTTCCCTTGCATAATCAACCTCAGTAATACGTACTTCTCACCCCTCATTAAATGTCCCACATATTGAATCTTTCTAATTTTAACAGTTTTTATGACTTCACATTCTTTCTTCATTCTTTGTAACACCTCTATATTAGTTACTTTTTCAATCCACGATATTTTATGCATTCTCCTGTAGCACCACATCTCAAAGGAGTTTAATTTTTTGATTTCAGACTGCTTTATTGTCCACGCTTCCATGCCATATAGTAAAGTAGAGTAGACGTAACAACGTAGCATTCTTGTGCGAATCTTATACTATACTATTATTATTAATAATACTATTAGTACACATTATTGTTAATAACACCACTACTTTTCTCGGTAGTTTCTCAAGTAATTCTCCTGTTATCAAATCATAGCCAGGAAGTTTCTTATGATTTATCATTTTTGTTTGTTGTTCAACCTCTGTCGATGTAAATGTTATCAGAGGAAGAGGTAGTTGTAGATAGATGGAGTTTTGAAGTACTATGGCGTTTCTTTGGGCCCAGGTCATACCTATTTTTCTTAAAGGTGAATTTGTTACTGTCGGTCGTTTAAAATATTTGTAGCTTTTCATATAAAGTGGTCTTTATGTGAGAGGTTCGAAATATAAAACTGAAAAGTTTTATTTAATGGATTTCTCGTTTTTTGCCATGTGCGTCTAGCTCTTCTGTGATTTCCTAGTTAATTTCTGGTTTTTAATTTCCTTAATGCATCCTTTACTTCTTTCTGCTCAAGATTTATTTCTTTGTCTACCGTCACCTCTGGTGTTGGTGGTTCATTGTCGTCATCTTTAGCAAATAGGGATCGACAGTAGTCTGTCCATGTTTCCTTCTATTTTTTTTTTGTTTTTATTAGTTTGCTCATCTCTTGTCTTTCTCCTCTGATTTTTTTTATATTTCTTTGTATGTTACGTAGAAGTCATCTTCCATCTGTTTTGAAAAGCTCTGCCAGTGTTCACTTATTTGGTCTAACTAAATTATTCGTTTGATTCCCAATTTGTTTATAGTGGTTGTATGCCTGTTGTGTTGTGTTCTCTACTGTAAAATGGCTTTTTACTATTCTTTATATTTTGCCTTCACTTTCTCTCTAAATCGTGGGGTTTTCTTTTTCGATATTTTAATGTTTGTTAGTTTATTCTTCTCAAGTGATTCTGTTGCTACGTCGATTATGTTATTTTTGATGTTTTTGCAGCTTTCGTCGATATTATCTTAATATTTCATTCCCAGCAGTCTTCTTTATCTTTCTAATCATTCTAAGTTAAGGTAATACTAGGCTATGGTCGCTACCTACAGCTGCTGAGTTGAGGCATCTTACGTCAATTATTTTTGATATATGTATGTCACTGTTGGTTATAACGTAATCTATCACAGATCATTGTCCACGGGTGTTATTGAATGTATATTTGTGTTGATCTTTTTGTTGGTCTTCTAATCTTAATATAACTAATTCTAGGTGTTTCTTAGTTCTTAATATTGTACGAGTAATATTGAATAAAACATTTTACAGTTTAATAATTTTAAAGATACATTATTTTATGGATGTGACTATTGTTATACAAAACTACTCACATACACGTTTTTGGTATAATTTTTATAAAATAAAAACTATTGTAAATATATATTGGTTTTTGACGAATAGTGAAAACTATTCTTAATTATCAACTAAGTTAACTCACTAAAATTGTTTTTAAGGTAATGGCGTCTAAACGAGTTTGTACGGATTTAAAAATTGGTAGCCTAGGCTTCGCTGAAACAGCTGAGGCAGTTTTTATACACGGACCCAACCAGTTCAAAAAGTTTTCACAAGTTGCAAGGTAATTTATTATTGTTAAATTTAAATATAAAAACAATTTTAAATATTAGTCAATAGTGTCTCTTGTTTTTAAGTTACTTAAGTGTTAAGTTTGAATAAATTTTATCATTTATTTGTACCACATAGTGTTTAATCTTTAAAAGGCGTACATACACTAAAATAATGTAATTTATGTAAATAACTTATGATATGACCAGTTATCGTCCCTTATTGTTTATATTTTTACTCACAGTAAATTTTTTGACTATCGTTAAATACATTTTTTATTATTCATCGCTTCTGCATACTTTTACGAGCGGCGAAAAATGAAAGCGTATTTATCATTTATAACTTTATAAACAGAGATTTATACACTGGGGTGTAAAATTAACCGGACACTCAGATTTTTCCTTTAATGGAACATTAAACTTTAGATGTTTTGTGCGAACAACAACACTTTTACACATACATTTTATTATTAATGTGAAACAGTGGCTCAGTATTAATTTAAGTTTATTGTGGTACTATACCTGATTATAAGTTCGGCTGTAGGTTTTTGTATTGACATCAGAAGAAGTAGCACATGCTGTTGGTTTAAATGATGATGGGTGGAGCATTCGTTACATCGTAAATGCTTTAGACATTTCTCGAAGTACAGTGTTTCGAGAAACTGGGCATTACACCAAGAGGCCAGATCAAGGTAGACGAAGAAACACAAGTTAAGTTGAAGATCGCTTTCTTAGGTTACAAGCATTACGCAATCGTACATAATTAACACCAGTATTTGTTCAACGATTAAATATGTCTATAGAAACACAGTTTCCGTCTATACCGTTCGAAGACGCTTAAATAAATATGGATTATAGTCCAGAATACCTGTCACGGGACCTCTATTAACAGCAGATTATCGTAGGCAACCTTTACACTTCGCCTGCGAACATCTTAATTGGGTTGTTGACGATTGGAGTGCTGTGCTTTTTGCGGGTCAATCAATATTCAATATAATACTATACGATATAATACGATCATCATTTTATTGTAACTATTTAACAAATAGATGTAAAGTTCTTGAAACGAGAGCTTAACAAATTTACTATAGTCAGAATCCAGAAATCTAGGCAGTAAATTCTTGGAAGTAATAGTGATGGTTCATTGCTATTTTAGATCTTCCAATGGCGTACGAAAAATATCATAAGAAGTTACGACAAAGCTACTTGTATTAAATAAATATGTACCTATTTATAATTATGTTAATTTTAATATGATTATTGTTGACAATTGGGTTATTATATATATATTAATAAAATATACATGGTGTTTAGTAACGAATGGCCATAACTTAATCTTAGATTCCTGAGATTAAAATATGCCGATTTTAACTTACTTTAGTACGAAAGTTGATAATAACCAAAATAAAGGGTGTCAAAGTTAAACTTTTATTTTTGAATATTTCGTGATAGGCATGGGATAACAACACGAAATTTGGTAAGCTGGAGTTTTTTCTGTTTGAGGGGATGCAAGAAATAGTGATGCGCAACGTATAGCCTCTCCGGATTTTGTTCATCCGGTGCATCCTGCTAGATAACAAACGAGGCTTTGGCATCCGAGTGGTTGCCGGTATAAGCAATCCCCCACTTACCTACCAACGGCTTCGGGCAGATGAGTTGGTAAGTGGTAGGGCACTCTTTTGTCCTAGGGTTGGGAAATTGGCCCTAAAGGCGGATGAACCGAGAACTAGGTCAACGGTGTAAGGATGTAGAAAGCAAGGAGAAACTACTACATTAAAGATCCATATGGATATCTCTTGTACATTTATTATGGCTACAGCTTTGAAAGTGAATACTACTGATCATGTATATCGGAGTGCAAGATCCGGCAGGGGAAGAATAACAACACAGAACCTCGGGGCCTCCTAGGTCATTAGCAATCGAAACCCCCAAATTAAAGGAAAGGATGCGCCTAGAAAAATTAAGCAGTTTATTAAAATATGCACCTGGAACGTCAAGACCATGTACGAAATAGGCAAAATTTATAATGCCATCCATGAAATGGAAAGACTGAATATCGATATAATGGGCATCAGTGAAATGCGATGGCCTGATGCCGGAAAATGTCAAATAAACGAGCACCTTTATACTACTTTGGAAATACAGAAGGTCAGCATAAACATCGCGTAGGAATAATTTTAAATAAACAAATAAACAAATACGTTACGAATTTTGTTCCAATATCCGAGAGAATCGTGCTTATTCAATTGGATTTATTCCCAGCAAAAACCAACATAATCCAAATATACGCACCCACGGCAGACAAATCAGACGAAGTAATAGAGGCTTTTTATTGCGATTTAAGGAAAGTCCTAAGTAAGTTAAAAACCAATGAAGTAACGATAGTTATGGGTGATTTTAATGCCAAAATCAGTAAGGGTAGTTATGGTGAAGTAGTAGGTTCATGGGGTCTGGGTGACCGAAATGAGAGAGGAGAACGCCTACTCACATTTGCTATGGAATAAGAGCTGGTAATCACCAATACACTTTTTAAATTACCATTCAGAAGGTTGTACACATGGCGCTCACTCGGTGACACGCCAGAAAATCTCATAAGAAACTAGATTGATTATATTTTAATAAATCAAAGATTCAAAAACTCAATAACATCAGTGAAAACCTACCCTGGTGCAGATATTAAGTCAGACAATAACCCACTTGTCGCTAAGTTTCACCTGAAATTTAAAAAAATCCACAAGCCTAATCCTATAAGATACGATCTCAAACAACTAAGAGATAATGGCATAAAACAAGAAGTACGGGAATATCTGAAGAACAACATATCTAAGTCAGAAGTAGTTAATGATGTTGACACAGAAATAAACCACAGAAAACATTGGGAAGGAAATATTAGATCAATACCTGCGACCGAAAAAGACAGAAACGAAAAAACCATGGATGACCGACGATATATTACAGATGATGGACAGAAGAAGCGAATCCAAGCGGAAAGACAACGTTGCATATCAATTTTTAGACAAAGAGATAAAAAAGCTGTCAGAGAAACTAAAAATAGAAACCTGGAAGAACAGTGTAAAGACATCGAGATATTGCAACGTACACACGATTCCTTCAATCTCCACAAAAATATCAAAGAAGCAGCAGGCATCTATAAATCAAAAAGGTCGGGACACTTAACAGACGCTCAAGGAAATCCAATAGTTGATATTGAAGAAACAAAAACAACGTGAATAAACTATGTGACAACAACATTTGAAGACGATAGTAATGTCACCATCACACAAAATAAAAATGACGGTACCGGACCACCTATTCTCGAAGCGAAAGTAGAAGCTGCTATAAACAACATTAAAGAGGGAAAAGCCGCAGGACCAGACGAGTTCTACTCAGAATTTTTGAAAATTATGGATAAAGACGAAGTAAAAAGACTTACCTTGATATTTAACAATATATACTAAAGGGGAAAAATACCCCAACAGTGGCTAAGATCAACTTTTATAACAATCCCTAAAAAACCCAACGCCAAAAAATGTGAAGATCATCGAATAATAAGCCTTATGAGCCATCTCCTGAAAACTTTTTTAAAAATGATACAGAAAAGAATATATAAAAAGTGTGAAGAACACATGACAAACACACAATTCGGCTTCAGGGATGCATTGGGTACTCGAGAGGCACTTTTTGAAATACAAGTTCTCTTTCAAAGATGTAGAGACGTGAATTGTAATATATATGGTGTGTTTTGTGGATTATCAGAAAGCGTTCGATAGAATAAAACATGACGAACTGATGAAAATATTAAATTCAATTGGTCTAGACAGCAGAGATCTCCGTATAATAAACAATATCTATTACGAACAAACTGCAGCTGTTAGAGTTGGGATCAGCTAACAGACGATATAAAGATAAAAAGAAGTGTATGACAGGGATGCGTATTGTCCCCATTATTGTTCAATACATATTCAGAGCACATTAAGGACCTAGCGGTAACGGACATAGACGAGGGAATACTTATAAATGGAGAACGATTGAACAACATAAGATACGCTGATGATACTGTCATTTTTGCAGACAGTCTTGAAGGTCTGCAGACACTTGCCTCCAGGGTGGCAGAAGTAAGTAGCAGGTTTGGGCTTGATTTTAACATCAGAAAAACCAAATACATGGTTATAAGCAAAAATAGGAAACCACCTGGTCAATTACTAGTTAACCAACAACCTATAACACAAATCACCAAGTATTGTTATCTAGGTGCAAACTTAAATGAACAGTGGGATCAATCGACGGAAATTAAGATAAGGATCGAGAAGGCAAGATCAGCGTCAAAATAAAAAAAATCTTTAACAGCCACATAACGATGTGACCTACTTCGGACCATACTTCAAGGTAAAGTGCATGGGAAAAAAGGTCCAGGACGGAGAAGAATATCCTGGCTGCATAATCTGCGAAAGTAGTTTAACTTAACCGCTACCGGACTTTTCAGGGCATAAGTCAACAAAGTCAGAATAGCCATGTTAGTGTCCAACATCCGTAACGGATAGGGACCATAAGAAGAAGAAAGAAGTTTTTTGGGACGAGAAATCAAATTCGCCACTAAAAATGATGAAGGATGCCACATACATCTTTTAGTGCTCGTTTATACTTTTAGAATCAAAGCTTCTATTCTCTTAATATTTTTACTTAGAAAAGATATACTACATCGCTGTACAACCCATTACTTTTTATTATTATTTTATAAATTTGAATTAATTACAATAAATAATAATTTTAGTTTAGAAGGTAATAGTTATACCTCCCTAAAACCGCGATAGTCGATGAAAGTCGGCTACTCAGGTATTCAGTTGTTTTGCTATCGAAGTAAACAGTGGTGTGATGACGATAAGTAGAATACTATTTTGCTGGCGTCACGTTGCCCAGCAACCGTCGATTCTATTCGTCATTGCTACGCAACGTGACGTCAGCAAAATAGTATTCTACTCATCGTGGCACCACCGCAGGACATGACTCACATATCGATTAGATTATCTAAGCAGTGAACACGTATTTTACTGTTGTGAGTAATATGGAAAGTGAAAGCAGTAAAAATAAACGACGTCCAAATTTCTCGATGGGAGAAAAAACTATTATATTTAATGTGTATTGTGGACTCCGTGAAAGGAATAAAAGTATGTCGGTCAACGATGTAGTTACCCTGTGTAGTGATTTGACTAATGTTTCGACGAGAAGTGTATACAGAATTGTAAACAATTTTAAACAAAGTGAAGGCAAATTAAATAATGGACCTATTGAAACCATTGAAACCAGAGGTAGAAAACGCATTCAGCTTGAAGATCATGCCAAATATGCTATTTGGAGGAAATTCCATGCTTTTTTTTTCGGAACGAAATCCCAACCTTAAAGAAAGTTAAAGTTGAAATACCTAAATTCCGATAATTCAATACCCAAAATATCACGACGTATTTTATTGCGAACCTTATGAACATTCAATATATAAAAAGAAGCAGGAATAGTGTTCTTTTAGAAAAAGATGAAATTGTTTTGTGGCGGAATAATTACTTACAAAAAATCCGAGAGTATCGTCTTGAAGGACGAAAAGTATACTATTTAGATGAAACTTGGCTAAATCAAGGTCATACTGTCTCAAAGGTGTGGCAAGATTTGGAAATTAAAAGTCTTCGACAAGCCTTCGTGCATTACTGCTGAATATTCTTGTGTGAAGGATGCGAAGAAACACCTTAAGCAAATGGCTCATTAAACTTATCAGTCTGTGGTCTTTGCATTTTGTCGCTCTTTGTGATTTAGGGATCATTATAAAGGTAGATAAAGCCAATCCGTTGGAATGTAGCCGGTGTTATATATGGCAATAAAAATTGTTACCAGCATGTCAATGTTATCATCTTCCAACAGTTTTATGGCTTCAGTAGTAATTCCATCCGGTCCAGGGGCCTTGCCTAGTTTTGCTACTTTTATAGCGTACTCCATCTCGGTGCGAATAATGGGAGGGCCGGATAAATTTTCCGTGTGTAAGTTAGTAGTTGTCAGATTTGGTCTATTGTACGCAAAGAGGGACGAAGCATAGTCTGCCTAGATTTTAGTTAGTTCTTCCTGGGTATGAGCGTAGTTTCCTCGATCATTCTTCAGGCGAGTCTCATGTTGTTTCTTGTATATACTCGAAATTTCTTTGACCTTTTTATGTAGTCCAAAGCTGTCTCCCTTTTCTTGTAGTGATTCCAATTCTTCACAACGTTCTTTTATCCAGCTTTCTTTTGCGTTTTTAATTCTTGCCCATATCGTCTGTTATATTTCCTTGTATTACTGTTGATTCTGATGTATTTTGTACTGTCTGCGTTGCTCCATTAAATCAAGTATCTCTTCCATCATCCACTCGTTTTTGTGACTTCTTTTTATTTTATTTGCGACTACTTCGTTAACCTCGACTACAGCTATTTTTATTTGCTAACAGGTTTTCTTTATGCAATTTTCTTGTATGTTCTTCAAATTCTCGTTGATGTGCTTACTGTATGTAGATCTAAGCTCTTCATCCTTCATTAATGTAATGAACATATTATTCAATTATTTCGTTTCCTTGGCACTTTTTCTTTATTTCAGTATATTCATTGTACGTTTTCGTTGTTAAGTATGTTTTCGTTTACTTTTGTTCGGTATCCAAGGCTTGTTATTGGAATCGTTAGCTTATATTTTTATTTTCTAGGGGCCGGGGAGCTAATCCGACCATCCAACGCTCCTCCGGGCTGAACCGGGCTTGGGAACGGCTACGGCAGAGTTAAATATTGTTGTCCATTGATTGTTTTTATAACTAACTGCAGTCACGAAGTCAAGATAGTGTTTAAATACAAAAGAACTCAAATATAATGTTTAATAAATAGGCATACTTGAAATATTCAGAGTTAGCTTAAAATCAATTGATGAAACAGTATGTAAGTAACTGACCAAAGAGTTACTCTAGCTATATTAACTATAAATAGAATTTATCCATAAAAAGATAAACAATTTGATAAAAAAGTAATTAAAAAATTTATTTTTCTAAAATATGTTAAAATAAATTATCTTGAAAATCATACTTATACGAAATTTTTTAATGCAAATTTAAAAATTCACAACCAAAAAATTGGATTAGTTTTGCCATTCTCAAACTTAAATTGCTGGAACCGCTACTGATAATTGTTTGTTATTTATAAACTGTTAATATTTGCAAATAGTATAACAAATGCAAGTAAAATTTTAATTATTTTAATGTTTTGTTCATATCTATTTACATTTTTTTTATTCATTTTTAGATTGTTTGTGGAAATATCATTGACCATGACACACTTTGTAGGAAATGCAGTGTATGTTGTATTTATTTCCGAGTCAATAGCTAAGGTAAACACGTGTAGCAGTTTATATTTTTTATTTACTTACATTTTACTAACTTCTGCCAATGGCAATATCGGTGCTATCTGCTGTTATAGCTAAGCACTATTATTTTTACTAATTGTAGTATAATTATTAACCAATCACAAGGATATAAGGAAACGATGAAAAGAACATTTTGAACAACTGTTAAGCAAAAAAAAGCAAAGAAAAATAAAAACAACGTAATTGGCAGAGCAAAGGAACACAGTAATGAAACAGAAGCTATACAGGAAAACGAACTAGAGGAGCCAATAGGAAAATGTTAATAGAGAAATAGAGAGTTAATAGAGAATGATAAATGCAATAATTGTACCAATGTATAAGAATATAAACACAAGAGACTATTAGAACTATAAAACATACCCCTACTATGTGTCGCAACAGAAATATACGAAGTAATAATAGAAAGAAAAATCGGGATAAAAATAAAACACAAACTAGTGAACGTACAAAACGGATTCAAGACAGGATATTTATATAGACTTTATAGACTTTTATTTATATAGACAACAATAGACTATATATTCACTATGCAAAATATGATAAAAAAGCCTCAAAGAAAAATAAAAAAGTATATATAAGTTTGATAGACAAGGAAAAATCATTTGAGTAAATCGAAGGGAAAACTATATAAGAGAGCACGAAAAAGAAACAAGTATGCTAAAACCTAATATAAGCTATATATTATACAGTATAGGTAAATGTTTATGGTCGGTATGGACCTTACGTGAAATGGAGTGAGAAACACCTGTTTAAAAAGAGAATTAGGTCTGCCCTTTATATTGTCGAAAATGCATTAGTGGATATAATAAAAAAACATTGCCAAACTTATTGGTTTTATTTGACCTGTTGTCTTTTTAGCATTTGTACAATGTTCTAGGATAATCAAATTTGGGCGAAATGGATTTAAATTTTACTTTACAATAAGTGTAATTTAACATTTTGATTTCTACTTCGGAAATCGTTTTAAATAAATAAAATTTATTAATGTTTCGTATTTTAATTCCGATTTCCGAATTAAAAATCTAAATATGAAAGTAAGCTTATTTTAAAGTCACATTGTGCCTTATTCCCAATAAAAATAGTAAACTGAATTATGACGCCAAAATAAAAAAGCTTCATACAAAATTATTTGGCAACGTCGCCTCTCGCGTCGTCAACGCACCGAACAACAGTTGTTCGGTGGTCAAAGTACGGACAGTGGTAGGGGGTAGAGGTGGGTCGTTGACGTTTTTATCGTTAACGCAACTAAACCGATTTTTAAAAACAAGTTGTTTAACAACAGTTGTTCGGTAGTCAAAGTACGGACAGTGGTAAGGGGCAGAGGTGGGTCGTTGAGGTTTGTATCGTTAACGCAACTAAACCGATTTTCATAAACAAGTTGTTTAACAGTAGTTTTAAGTAAAAGAGTACCTAAATAAACAAACATAATGGCTCAGTTTAATGAAAATTACTAAGTTTGGAGCCATTATCAAGAGGAATATGGTTCCGTTCAAGCTCGGGATCTCAATTTGCCTATTCCCGTACCAGTATCTTGTTCTCTAGAAATACGAGAACTGACAAACGGCACTGAGGTCTCAATTTGTCTACTCCTCAGACTCTCCTCAGACTCCTGTCACTCGACACTAAGTAGGTAGACTGAGACCTCAGTGCCGTTTGATGGTTCTTGTATTTCTACAAAACAAGATACTGGTACGTCGCACATAAGGGGAGTAGCAAATTGAGATCCCGAACTCGAACGGAACCATATTCTTTATAAAAATGTGTGCATGGTCTAAAACCTAAGATACGAATCATCAGATATCAAATTTTATTAATCTTATACAAGATATGTCAAAAAACATGAACTTCGCAGTAAAAATTTTATTTTAATATGAAATTACATCCTTCTAAATGAATTTTTTTTTTATTTTTCTGATATTACCGATAATCCAAAAAAAAACTGACCAAAACTAACCCTTTAACGGATCATAACAGGTCAAAACATTAGATTTTTTATTTATAAACCATTTCGTCTTGTGTTGATGTCAAATGACTTCAACAGTTGAATAACAATGCTTATATTTCCGTTCAATTAATCTATTAATTTTCTTTTTGTAGCTTGTCGGTTTCTACCATCCACCTGCGTTACACTGGGGACAATACTTTAAACTGATCATACTGTTCCTTTTAATAATATTCTGTCAGATAAGAGAACTTAAGCATTTGGTACCATTCTCATTTATAGCGAACGTGACAATGACATTGGCTTTGGTAATTACAGGATATTACATGATAAAAGAATTGACTCATGTTGAAATAAAGGACCGAAAATTAGCAACAGATATATATGGTAAGTAATTTAGTCATGATTGTTTTTGCAAACTTTTCAAACTAAAAGTAGTTTGTGAAGACTAAAGGTCGATTCAGACACATCAGTCACGTCTCGTCACAGTCCTGGCGCCGAACCGAACAATCCGTCATACAAAATATTCTTTAATAGAAATATGGCGCCGGCATTCACATTCATCAGGCGACGAACAGTTTGCCAGCTGTCAGATAGTTGATAGTTCTGTGACCAAACAGGACCGGTTCGGCGCCGAGACTGTGACGGGACTGATGTGTCTGAATCGACCTTAAACCGTTAAGTCTATACAGACTAGGTATACATTTAAATTATAATATATACTCAGTGACATTAGAGGTGTTATACCCAGAAGGAATAATTTCGAACTTAATTTTTTGGCTTTAGATTTACATAAAAAATGCGATAACATTGGCAAGAGTTTTTATTAACATGTAATGAAAAATAAATATATATTAATGTGTTTGGCGACACCGTAACTGAATACACCTCTGTACACGTCTAAGCACTGACAAAATAAGATGATCGATGTCTGCTTGTGGCAGTTTGTTCCGAGCAACTTGAACTTGAGGGATTAACTGTGCCAGAGTCTGTAGAAGATAATGCAAAGTCTTCTTTCGATCATATCCCACATATATTTGCTAGGATTGAAATTAGGTGAACGGTATGGCTATGGCAAAACATTCTAGTACATCTTCCTACTTTATAATTAGCATAAATTTGATTCAGTTGACTCATTCCCAGTTTAGTAACATTATAAAAATGTATAATATCTGACAGTTTTTTTCTGTATACAAAACTTTGTCCTTATGATGGAAACGGGAAATGTGACAAACCGATCGACTTTTTTTGGTATGTTGTCAGCAATGTTACGTCTGTAGTAAAATCATAGAGTGAAGAATAAACCCAGCGTTGATTATTCGACAAATAACTCTCTTTTATTTCATCTTATAGTAACTACACAGCGATGAAAACCAGGTATCTCCAGTCACATTGTTGATATGCATAACTATTTGAGATTTGGTATTCTGTTTTGTTTTCCGGTATCTACAAAAGCGTTCAATAAATAATGGTTGCGGGCAACACAAAGGCACATTATTTTGAGTCCATATTTTTCTGGATTACTTTTCAAAAACATTTTAAATTTAGACTTACGGCGGAAACTAGTCAACATTTCATCTACGGTTACATATTTTCACGTGACTAGTTAATATATATATATATATATATATATATATATATATATATATATATATATATATAATATATATATATATATATATATACATATATATGCAAAACTATTGTCACCATCTTCATTACACTTATTTCGTGTATTTCAATCATCAAATCTCAAAGCTGTTAGTGAAAAACTAAATCCTTTTGCTGTCATTACGAAACGAAATACATCACGACGTGTATCATCAGTCGCAAAAAGAGAATTTATATTTTCTTTATTAGACTTAAACATGCCAAATGGTAGCCCAAAAAAGCTAATATTTCAGTTTTATTAACGTGGCTTATAAATTTACAGTTAAAAGCATTACCTCCGTTAGTTGTTTGTAATTATTTCGTTTGTGTGTCATCGAGTAACAACTTGACGTCTTCAGCAGGTGTTGCCAGCTTATGTATTCGTGCTGGCCCAGAAAGCCATGGTAGATGTGATACTGATGCATGGGTATGGCTTGAGGCAGGAGGTACTTTCATTTATTTTTACTATTTCTTCCATAATAGTAATTAATTTCAGTTCCCTCTTGATTATCATCCTCACTACTTAAATCACTGGCCAGTATTTGATATTTTCTCACAGTATTATTTTGGTCATTATCACTAAGTTCAGAAGAACTTTCAGTTCAGTTCAGTTTCAGGCTATTCAATTAGCGTAAACACATGGTCAATTATCCATAAATATGAAGTGTTACTGAAATTCTATTATTTTCTTAATAAATTGATTTGTTATTTATTATTTTATTTATAATCCAGTAAATAATTTATATTATTATTGCATTAATCTTGTAGGAATTCCAACATTTTTCACTACAGTCCTTTTTGCAATGGAGGGAATCGGAACCATAATGCCTGTTGAAAATTCTATGGTTGAAGACAGATTCACAGGATGTCCAGGGGTTCTAAATACAGCTATGACTTCTGTCGTAGCTTTTTATACAATAATTGGTTTTTGTGGATATTTTGCTTATGGTGACAAAACAGCAGCTACCATCACCATAAATTTACCTGACGATGAAATGTAAGTTATCTTTCATATAGTATTAAAAATGTTCTCCATTATATTATTCAATATAACATCCTTTGTTATACTGTATGCACTGTTGCATCCAACAGTGTATGCCACAAATATTTTAAATATGGTTAATAAAGCAGAAGCATACAATAGTAAAATTTAAGAAGATCTCATTATGTTCATACTATTCATATCGTTCCTCTTATTCCGAAAGGTATCTGTCTCTTTTGATCTCTTCTGGAGTTGGCCTTAAAGTTTTCTCGTTGTTTATTACTGTTTGAAAACTGACTCTTTTTTCGTTTTTTTCCGTAAGTATTCATATAATTGTGTCTATTTTTAAAGTGAAGTAACTACAATTTTAATTTGAACTTTAATTTAAGTTTCGAATCTAAAAAATATAATTGTAAATTATACTGAATCTGGACCTAAGAAGATCTTTTATTAATAATCCTAATTTAATTCACCTCCTGAATACCAATTTTTCTAAAAAAAAGTTGTTGATCAGTTTTCTAGGGAGCACTTAAGTCACCGCCAAGGGCTTAATGAGGTGATACAACAGATGATATTCCTCAGTCAACAGGCTTGTACTCAATTTAGTATCCTTTTTATCGATTTCAAGAGGTAATTCCTACGGCTGAGGCAATAATTTTACAAACAATTATACTAGTCTAATTAATATGTAAGATCGTAATAGATCGTGTATTCAAATTCAGGTAAACAATTATTATAGTGTCAAAGTCTGTTTTCAGAACCTTTACAACCGATTGGCTGTCTAAAATAATATCTACATTTTTTCTACCGATATACACTAATCTACAGTGGAGTAGCACAAGAAAACAGGGTCGAAGAAGAAGTACCTAGCCTTCATAATGTTAAAGATACCTAAATCACATCAAAGACTGTCAATAATATTAGAAAGGATTGTAGAAACAAAGATCAGAACGGAGAAGGAAGACCTAAACATTATCGAAGTATACGGCCCAGAAAATATCAAGTCGCAAACAACAGGGCAACCATTTTATGACGAATTGCAACCAGTAGTAGATCGAGTCAAAGGAGAGATAATAATACCGAGGGATTTTAACGCTCGAATAGGCAACCAAAAAATACCCGTAATTAAGCAAAAACATAACGGAAATGTTAAAAACGCAAATGCCAAACTGATGATAAACTTCTGCACTTATAACTAACTTACAACAACGCATTTTTTGACCACAAAAAACAACACAATTATACATTCAATGGCACCAGTGGACAAATATTTATGATAGATTATGTTATAAGATACATCAACTCAGCAGATGTAGATAGCGATCAAAGCCTAGTATTACGTAAAATAAAAATCATTATGAAATACTTCACACCCAAAAAAGCGACATCAACACAAACGAAAATCAGAGTCGAAGGACTAAATACCGAATCCACGGAATACTTATACAGAAAAAGAATATCAGAGAAGATTGCTGAAATTGAAATATTTTAAATTGATAAAATCCAGCAAAGCTGGGAAAACTATAAAAATAATATAATTTACGCAGCAACAGAATCACTTGGAGGGGAAAGTAACGAACACTAACATATCAATAAAGGAAACTCCATAGTTTAGAAAGCAAGTGACGACAAAATGTAAAGAAAAGAAGAAATCTTTGTTAAATACAGAACAGAACAAACACAATAGGCATACTTCCACTATAAACGTAGTAAAGGAAGTAAAGGAAGCATTAAGAAAACTAAAAAATAAAAAATCACAAGGAGTAGACATAATACCGAATGAACTCCTAAAGCACGGAGAACCAGATCTCACCAAACAACCATTAATGATAATCCAAAATATAATCGAATAAAACGGAATACCACAAGAATGGAGATCAAGGATCCCAATACCTCTCTTTAAAAAGAGAGGGATTAATTTACAGAGTAAATAATTTATTAAACGTAACACTAAAATTAATCACCAAAATGATAACATAAACAATGAAATTAGAACACAAACAGAAGAACAACAAAGTTTTAGGACGGGAAGAACATACACTAGCGCTATATTTATAATGAGGCCAGTGCAAGAGAATACAACAAACTAGCATATTTATGTTTGATGAACCTCAAAAATGCGTCTGTTCAAATAATCAAAATGATGTAGGACTTAATCAAAGAAACAAAAAATTTAACAACAGACGTAATAGAGATAAAAAATGAACAAAGAAAGAACTGGGAGGAACTAAATGATCTAAAGGAAGAATTGGAGAAAGTTAAACAAGCAAATCAAACACAACACAAGGAGAAAGAATAAATTAGGAAAGAGCTAAGCGATACGAAATTACGCCTGCAAAGACTAGAGAAGGATAGAAAAGTCAACAATGTAATAATAAAAGGTTTGCCAGTAGATACAATCGATAGAAATCAAAGAAAAAGTTATAGGGAAGTTCATGGAGAAAGAAATAAACATTAATGTTTAAATAGAAGCAGAAATTACACTGAGAGAAAAAAAATTTTTGGTCAAACTCCAGAACAAGCTTGAAAAAGAAAAAGTCAGGCAAAATAAAGTAAAATTAAAACACTTAAAAATCTACAAAGTGTATATAAACAATGTCATAATGAAAGAAGAACTAGAAATACAGACAATATAAGAGAAGTCGCCAAAGAAGAAATAAATAAGAGTAAAAATGTTAAAAAAAGTTAATGATAAAATAAAAAAAACAGAAGATGAAAATGCACAAATAAAGGTTCAAATGATAACAGACATAAAAAAATGATCTAGCTAAGAATAAAGCGAGAACAAAAGATAAACCCGAAATAGACACAAGAGAGGACTTATTCATAGAAGCATGTAATGTAAGAATCCTTTACAAGACTAGCAAATTGGAGCAAGTTAGTCAATACCTTGATAAGTACAAGTTATACATTGTTAGACCAAGTGAAATACGATGTAATGGCAATGAATCAACCCAAGTAGGGGACCAACAACTAATGATATATTCTGGGAACACAAACGTAAATCATAAACACGAAAAGTAGTGGCAACACTTCTATTTCAAAAGGGAAGAAAGGTTCTAATAGAAAGAGAGGGATAGAGAGAGAGAGAGAGAGAGAGAGAGAGAGAGTATTAAAAAGGTTTATCTGGGCGACACTGAAGGTAATATATTATGACATTATAGTAGGAAATGTATATACTCCTACAAATAAAAACGACGAGGATGAGAAGAAAGAATTTTATGAACAACTACAAACAACGTATAATAAGATTAACAATAAATATAGAATATACATGAAACTAATAATCGGAGACTTTAATGTTTAAATAGGCAATGATAATATAGATAATAAATAAATGATGGAAAAGGAGGGAATAGAGGAGAGGAACGACAATGAAAATTGACTAATTGAATTTTGCGAACCAAATGAACTTGTATTAGGTGAAAGCATCTTTAAACATAGGCAGATACATAAGAAAACATGGAAATTACCAGAAGGCAGGTAGAAGAACCAAATAGACAACAAACCAATTAAATATAAATGGAGAAATAGTTGCAAGATGCCAGAAGCTTAAGAGGTGCTGATGTGGAGTCAGACCACATGCTAGTCAAAGTGAAACTAAAAATAAAATTAACCAGAGAAAAGCCAAAAACAAATCAACAGAAGGATTAAATACAACATTGATGCTCTAAAACAAGAAATTATAAAAAATACATTTTCTGACAAACTGGCAATTTACCGAACTGTATCACAAGAAACTGGAGAATCAGTCGAATAAACATGAAACCATTTTAAAGAAATAATGATTTATACAGAATAAAACAATCTAATTAAAAAGAAGAGAAAATAAAGATACTCTACAACTGATAGAAGAATGGAAATCAAAGAAGGAATCCTACAAAAGAAAGGATCGGAAGAAGAGAGGTCACTTGAAAGGAAATAGAAGACAAACATACAAAACTAAAAAACAAGCCAGAAAAGATAAAAGAAACTATATAAATGAGATGTTAAATTTATCAGAGAAACTCACCTTATTTATCAGTGACAACACTATTAAGCGCCGCATCTAAAGTGTTGACCAAGATCATATTTAAAATATTGTGAAGCAAAAACTAGACAAAAAACTGAGAAGTAACCAAGCAGGCTTCCGTACCAAACGCTCCACCATTGACCACATTTGTACCCTTACAATTATTTTGTAACAAACAAATGAATATAATAAAGATATTGATGTGAGCTTTACCGACTTTGAAAAGGCCTCTGACCGGGTGCAGATGTGGAAAATTCTTTAAATGTGATACCACCGAAAATCATAAACTTTATTAAACTTTTCTACAAAGGATACAAGCCAAATTGGAACACTAAGCTAAAAGAAACAGAAGAAATAGCCATATAGAGTGGAGTCAAAAAGGGTTGTGTACTATCCCCTACCCTAGTCCTTATTATGATAGATTGGGTAACAAAAAAAGTAACTGCCCAATAACTAAACTAACATCTGACTACTAATTGAACACCGAAGTCATATGCAAAGAAAAATTGACAAGTTGGCACAGTACTCCGATACCATCGGGCTCCGAATAAAGTCAAAGAAAACTAAACTCTTAAACAATAATAACCACCCAAATAATAAAATGGTGATAAACGGTAAGAAAGAAGAAGAGGTAGACAAGTTCACATATTTGGGATCAGTTATGGAAAGGAAAGGGGGGTATAAGCATATACAGACGAGAATAATAAAGGCTTAACATGCATACAACGCATTAAATAAACACAAACGATATAATCAGAAACAACAAAAATTAAAATATTTAATAATTACGTCTTAAGCATACAACTTTACGGAGCAGAAACATGGAAACAGGATGAAACCATAACTAAAAAACTGCAAACTTTTGTAAACAAATATTTAAGAAAAATCCTAAAAATATACTCTCCCAACACTACAACTAATACAAATCTATTAAAAAACATCTAATCAAACTACATATTTACTAGAGTTGAGGAAAAAAAATGGAAATAGATTTGCCAAACTCTAAGAAAAGATGACAGCAGCTTAACTAGACAAGCACCTAAATACCAACCAGATAGGAAAAGAAAGGGAAGACCAGAGAATAGCTAAAAAAGAAGTATAACGAGAGAATACGTAAAAAGTGGAATCAGATGGAGTGAAATTTAAAACAGAGCAATAAATAGAAGATAATGGAAGGAAGTAGTAGACAGTTTATCAACAGAATAAACAAGAAAGAAGATGAGCTGATTTGGCCATTCAGCAATCTTACACCTTTCGCCAAGAAATGCATGAGCGCATAATACTCGAAATGAGCGAAAACAGCAATAAAATGATCAGCAATGCAATAATTATCTCTCAAAGTGAAGATAATTTACAACGTAATTTTCGTTAATTTTCCCAAAAAATACAAAAAAAATAATGGTTATTATAGAAAATTTACTTAGATATAAATTAAAGCTGAAAATTTAGATATTAGAAGTGATGGAGTTTAATTATCTATTTATCACACCATCTAGCTACTAAAAGTTCGAAACAGAACTAGAAAATCAAGAGAATAGAACAAACAGACCACAGGTCGCCTGAATAAAACAATATTGAGAAATAAAAATATCAGGAAAGAATTGAAAGGCAGAATTTACAACAGTCTTCATACCAATAATGATATACGCAAGAGAAACACTACCTAATACAGGCGGGACAAAATAATGCTAGAAACAGCAAAGATGAATACTTTTAAAAAAATCGATGGTAAGTAGAGTAGAATGGAATGATCATATATGCTAAATGACAACAAATCAAGCAGTAACGACGGCAAGAGACGATTCCCCAATAGGAAGACAATCAGTGGGAAGGGTACAAAACCGATGGAACGCCAACTTACTGAAGGCGCATTGAAAAACAGACCGAGTCATGTCTACATTAAAAGAAGAAGAAGATATTTCTAAGGAATTGTTTCTGGTTACTGACGGCCTGTCCTTATCTATTTATTTTTTCAATATAAATTTCTCTGGTTTTTCTCTTCGTTCTATGTATAATTTGAATTTAGTTTCCGTGCTTACCAAAATCTATCAACTGATCCCACTTTTGATTATATCTGAAGATTTCGCTATTATTCATAGCGATAAATACTTCTATTTCTGTTATAGTCTATTTTGTCATCTTATCTCTTGCTACGCTAATATTGCCATTATAACTATTGGATGAATTTCCTGGTCTCATTTCTCTTACTTTGTCGTCGTTCCTTAATATTTCCAAAAGAAAGTCCGCTCTAATTATTCTTAGGAACTTAATTTCTGGAGCTTTTATCAGCATTCTTACTTGTAACTATTTCTGTGAGATGTTCGGATATTTAATCATTTTTCCATTTAGCCCCGCAGTGTCAAGTACACGTTCCCTATAATTCCCCACGTAAGTATACCTAATGACTTGTTTTATTTTGTTTACGTTAGCCGTAACTGCAAATTTGTCAATTCATATTTTACCCAAATTTAAATTTTATTCAAAAGTACCCCTCTAACTACCTGTCTAAATTCCCAAGTAAGTACATTCCATGAATTTTTATGTATTCATTATCCATTTTGTTTTTGTCAATTCATAATGTATCATTTAAGTTTTAATTACCCTATTTAATAAATGTTATTTTATTATTTTTAGATTAGCTCAAGTTGCTCAAGCGTCTATTTCAGCAGCGATATTTTTCACGTTTATGCTCCAATACTACGTACCAATCGATATAACATGGAGGAGAATAAAACCATATGTGCCAAAGGAAAAAGAAAACATAGTACAAATAGTCTGGCGAACTCTAACAGTTTCCTTCATAGTAGGAGTAGCAGCGGCAGCTGGAGATAAACTAGGACCTCTAATAGATCTCATGGGAGCAGTTTTCTTTTCTACTTTGGGGTTATTTGTCCCATCTCTTCTCGATATTATTGTTAATTGGAAAGATTGGGGTAGATATAATTGGATTTTGGTAAGAGATTTATTTGTGATATCAATGTTTACGTTTGGTTTTACGGCAGGAACTTATTACGCTGTTCTTAATTTTGTCAAATAGGGGCAGCCTTTTTTGTTAGATATTTTAAATGCGCAGTATTTTTATATTACTTTTAGTAGCTATTCATCTGTGAATGCGAATAATGTGATAACAATTTTGTAAAATTTTTATATTATCTATATGTATAAATTGTAGTTATGTATTTTAACATAATATTATAAAGACTCATTAACAAAAGATAAGTGAACGACGAGTAAAGATTTGCCTAAAAAATAAACAAAAAAAGTAATAATTCTATTAAAATATGTACATGCTTTTTGGCTAAAGGGCATTTTTGAAGAGTTGGTAAAAACGAAACACAACCTAATCCTAACCAAATTCAATAAACAACTTAACGCAAACTTGGACAGAAAAGTGGATAAACTCCATATACAAAACAGGTAATAAGGAAAAATGCAAGAATTACAGATTCATAACACAAGCACGCTGAATAGGTTATATAACATAATAATAAAAGAGATGATGTGCGAGGAATACCACCCTTATGAATTTGAAGAACAAAGTGGCTCTAGAGCAGGAAGATCAACTATTGATAGCATTTTCTGCGTATCTCACAAAAATAAAAAAAAGATCGCAAGACCACAAGAAGTGCAACTGTTTCTAATAGATCTTAAAATCGCATATGATATTGCTTCAATATTATAACTATGGAAACTCTTGAAATTATATAGAGGTACAACTGCCAGAGTAAAAACGGACGATAGAACATCACATAACTTTATATAAACATATCACACAAAAATATATCACATAAAAAAATGCTTAAGGCAAGGTAGCTTTCTCCAATTTTATGTATATGTAATGTTTGAGTGAAAGTTGGTGTGGGATTTGACGGGGAGGTTAGCATGGGGATTGGCACGTATATTGACGCGAAAATACACAAGAGGGGATATACAAAAGAAAAAAAAAACGAAACCACTAAAATAATAAACTAAAATAAATATAGAAAACCTCAAAAGAGATAAATAATTTAGATCATTCTATTATTAAGTTAACATCAACAGAAAAGAATTCAAGGCAACCACAAGTCAATGTAAAAGTTATAATGGCGACCTGTTAACAAGGAAAGATGTATTGAATATATGAGTGGAATACTTTAACCAGAACCTCAATATAGAGGAAGACGAAGAAATCCTAGAAGACGAAAGAGATGAGGTTAGGGGAACAGACGAGAAGGAAGAGGATATAAATGATTCTTAAAGTTAAAGATGCAGCTAAAAACTAGCCAGAAACAAATCACCCATAATAGATAATCTCCCAGCTAAACTATATAAATAGGGTGACCACGATACCGTAATTGCATTCCAGCAGCTTATAAAAAAATATGAACACAGAAATCTTTTTGCACCAAACACAAAAAAGGAGATATATTTGAATGCTCTAATCATAGAGGAATTACGCTTCTAAATACAGCGTATATAAATGTTCCACAGTACTATGTAAGCGTATGACACCATATGCAGAAGGAATAGAAGAAAAATACCAGACTGGTTTCAGAGGTGGTAAATCGACACTTCATCAGATTGCAACCTTGAAACAAATAAAAAAACAATGAAATGTGGCATAGATACTTATCACATATTTATAGACTACAAAGCAGCCCACGACTCTGTGAATATAAAGGAAATGTTCAAAGGAATGAGAGAGCTAGGAATAACAAATCAGTTTGAAGTAATAGTAAAGTAATAGAAAATTTAACAAAACTAACTCTTAAAAAAGTTGAACGTAGAGTACTAATTCAGGAGGAACTGTCTGAACCTTTTAAAACAAATAACTGGCTGCACCAGGGAGACCCTCTCTCCTGTATACTGTTTAATGTGCCTCTGGGAAACGAAATACGTATGTCACAAATTACAACCATTGGTTTAATATATATTAAATCGGTGCAAATCTTTGCCTATGCTAATAATACCAATGTTGTTGGGAGAACTAAAAACTCTTTACAACAGGCGTAAGTAGTATTAATAGAATCAGCTACACCAATGGGTTTAATAACAAATACCAACAAATTGAAGTATATGAAAATAAGCACGCATCCACAAATCCTACGAACACTTGTTATAGAAAATAAAAAGATAAAAGTGTATAAAACAATAATACGCCCATTCCCAAGATATTGGTCACAAACCTGGCCTCAGGTACAGGCCTCAGGTTACAACAAAAAGTAATGAATAAATGTTAGGATATTTCGAAATAAAACTACTAAGGCGTAAATATGGAGCAGTGAATGACAATGGAGTGCGGAGAAGACGATACAACTTTATAGAATATACCAGGAACCAGATATCGTAAAACATATTAAGATGAGGAGAAGAAAAGGACATCTGAGGTGGATAGGGCATGTAGTGCGGATGGAACAAAATGGTCCAGCTAGAAAAACGCTTCTTTATATACCCATTGGTCAGAGAAGAAGAGGAAGACTCAGAACAATACGTGCTTGGCGGAAGAAGGCAATGGATAGGGACGACTGAAGAGAAATTCTTGAGGAGGCTAGGGCCCACGTAGGGTTGTAAAGCCAGAATGATGATGACCTATATGAAGATGGTGTTGACCTTGAGCTAAAATTGAATCAGAATTGCACAGATATGTAATGTTTATAAATTAAATTTTGGATTATACGATTTTTTTGGCCTATATAAGATCGAAGGCAGTCTACACAAGAAATTTTATAAACTTTGTGTTAATCTTTGAAATGTTGTCGTTGATTGATCAGCCAAGAGATAAAACTTGAGTTGTTTTGAGTGTAAATATATTGTTTTGTGTAAATGACACCTTTAATGTAAGGAAGAAAAGCTTTCATATCATAAGGTTAATATTAAGAAAACGGTTAATGCGAGTTGATGGTAAAATAAAGGTAAAAGGTATCGGCATAGCTCGCAACAAAGAAAATAAATATATTAAAATATGTGTATAGGATGGAAGACAAGCGTATATACGTATTTCTGACTTAAGTCTCTTAGAAATACGTATATACGGTTGCCTTCCATCTTATACCCATATTCTAATATATATATTTTTTTCCTTTGTTGCGAGCTATACCGATACCTTTTACTTTTACCTGAGGACTTCGAGGAAAAATTGTTGTGGTATGGGTTTGCCTATTAAGAATACAAATCTGGATACGCTACAATATGCAGACACTTAGGTTTAACACAGACAGAGCGGTGTGCGTCGCGTCGGCGTTGAAAGTGGTCTCTCGTCTATGGTACTTACGTTGTGCAACACAGTAATGACTTCTGGCGGCACATCAGTAATAGATATCTGGTGCTTCAACACGAACGTGTGACTGTTTTGCTACGGTTTTATTTGATTACGGTTTTATTTGATAAAATAAAGAAAAAAAGATACTTGGGAAGAGGTTACCCACAGTTTTATTTCGGAAGATACTTTTCTGGACCATCTTTAATTTCGTTAGCTAACGTGTAAAACGTTCCTTTATTTTTTATTCATACACTACAGGATGTATACAATACCTGCATTTCTTCTTCTTCTTTGATTTAATATTTAATATCATTCTTTAAGTAAACTTGCACTTATTGGGAAAAATAAATCGTCGTCACTTTCACTAGATGATTCTAGAGACATCATTATACCATTCTACGTCCAAAACTCGACTAAATTTGACAACACCGAATACAATGGCAAAACTACTGTCACTGTTAAACCGCCTAATGTGTTTTAAGCCGCGCGGCAGCCGACGAGGCGCACACGCGGCACAAACCGTCCTGTCTGTGTTTAATCTTAGATCACAGTTCACTAACGTGTAAAAATAATATAGGATGTTTCAATATTCAACTAACAATACTCTACCTCAGAGAACTCTCGCTATTTGGTAAATTAAGATAAAAGAAATTTGAACCCTCAAATGTACAGGAATTAAGTTTAAAACCAAAATTACAAATTTGTTGACAGTTTTTCAAAAGATTTTAATACTCTATTAAACGGTAAATGGCACTACAGTAAAACCATAGTAAAACCTCCGTTAACCGAAATAATGGGGGGGAAGCCGTTTCGGATAACAAGAATTTCGGTTAAAAAAAAACATTGTTTTTAATAGTATTCTTGGTTAAAGTATTGTTATTAAATAATACTATGAGGTAATTTTGTAATGTTTTCTAATAAGTAAATACAGAATAAAGTAATACAATGAATAAGTTTAACAAGGAAAATGAATAAGTTTAACTAGGTTTTTAAAGAATTTTCTTTTACGTTATCGTTTTACAACGATGTTTTGCAGCTATATATCTCCATCGTTTATTTGCAGAACGTCGTGAGTTTGCCTAATTTTTAACAAATAACATTTGAGGATTTCAGGAACACTTTTAGATTCATTTGTCTTCTGTAATAATAGATGTCGTAAGAATGCTCCTCTATAATGTCTCTCGAATGTCTCTATTAGTCCCTGGTCTAACAGCTGAATTAAGCTCGTGACATTCGGTGGCAAAAATCTGAAATCTGATATCTGATCGCGTATATTAGATCTTGAGTCAACAAGCAACAATGCTTTGAAGGGAAGGTTTTTTTTTATTTTAAAAAGGATTTTACGCTTGGGACGAATTCATTTTCGAACCATTCTGAAAATAAAGTGGTCGACATCCATGAGCTTTCTTGGCTTCTATAAAAAACTGGAAGTGCTTTTTCTCAAATATCTTTTAGAGCTCTTGGTTTTTTAATTGCCCAACACTCATACGCATCAATCGCTGAGTGAAATTGATGGCATTTACATTTTGCGATAAAAATTTACTTTTTATTGACGAAATTATTGAAACTGTCAGCCGTTTCGGTTAAACGATGATTCGGTTAAAAAGGTTTCGGTTAAGGGAGGTTTTACTGTATTTCCCTCTAAGCCTTTAGAGAAAAAAAGTAACTATTTTGAATGCTCGGTACATGCTTGCACAAAAAAGTAATGATCTTTAATATGGCATTAAATAAACGGTGTAGATATTATATTACCATTCTAAATTTAATTAAATATGGTTACCAGTTGAACATTAATAATTATAGCCGATTAAGCTGTATATATTTTTTAAATTTAAGTTAAAGCTTGAAAGTATTTCTAATAAGTTAAAGCTTAAAAGTATTTACAATGTACATATTTGTTTTAAATTAAAGACAATGATCTCTTTGTAAAAGATAAATAAATTTTTACACAAAAAACCCATCTGTTTTTATTTTAGTATGGTTATGGTAACAATTAGAAGATATAAAAGAAATTGGTATTCTATACGGTAGTAAATAAAATATTAGAAAAATATTAAATGGGCAAACAATAAAAAAAATGTCGAAGTATAAAAATAAACTATAACAAAATTCTTAAAGGTCCAATAGGTGTTAAAGTTCAGAACGCTTTAAAACTGAGAGATATGGCATCGCTTTTTGAGTTTAATGAAATTGGACAATATATATGGTGAATATTTGAAATAAATAACAACTAAAAACATATTTGATATGGAGAGATTGCTTTGATAAGGAGAAAAGGATATAAAAGACCTATAAATGTGAAATGACAGAATCATGATTTAGTTAGGTACCAGAGTCAAAATGAAAAAAGTTAAACTTTAAAAGATAAGTGTGTTTAAAAAACAATTAAATTCGAAAAAGATTTTTTAATAACGACCATTCTATTAAAGTATTTGCCGCAACTTTAATGGTCAGAACATAATATAATATCGGATATATACACCGGTATACCGATATTTATATAATATAGACGAATACCGTCATTCGGATAGCCAAGCGAGCTGGGCGGCTGGCTTCTCCTTCGCTTCAATGCGAGAGATGTCAGTTTAAATACCCAGCTCGGTGTACAGAAAACAAAAAGGGCTAACGCAGCAGTTTAAAATTTGAAATAAATCTGCGGCTTAGTCTAGAATATGCTGGTATCTGATCGGCCTA